ATAAGGAACCATCAATAATATTGTAAAGTTATACGTGTTATTCATAAGTTTAGGGTTCAAGTTTAAATTTTAATTTTTAGTCTCTATTTACTAAAATAAAATAAATAAAAAAGATTTTTTGAAGTTAGAAAAAAAAAAAAAAAAAAACAGACTACTCATTATCTTATAACTATTGATGAGGGGCAAAATCCTCAATGTTGGCTATCCCTCACTATGAATAATTATAAAATATGTTAAATGCCAATTTTAGTTTTTAAACTTTTAATTTTGAACAATTTTAGTCCCTAAACTATTTTTTGCAATTTTTTGTCCCTAAACTATGAAAAATGTCCCTCTTTTTTTTTTAGTTCTTTCATTAGACAGTCCATTTTCTCTATTCAAATATACACTTTTAGTTCCTCAATTTATAATATATGCACATTTTTAGTCCCTAAATTTATAAGTTCAAAGACTAAAAATTTGCATATGTAGACAAATTCAACTAATTAACTGATAAAATGATTAAAAATGTACATTTTTTATGGTTCATGAATAAAAAAGTGCAAAAATAGTTTAGAGATTAAAAATACTCAAAATTAAAAGTTTAAGAACTAAAATTGACATTTAACCTATAAAATATTCAATCTACACAAAAAAATACTACAAAACTATTATCACTAGAAAAATATTAGTAAAATAAATAACAGTATATTTAGGTTTTATTTAGTATTTTTATAATTTTAAGTTTTTGATTTTGATTTTAAAACTTTAGAAATTCTAAAGTAAAATTAAGTAGTTGTACAAATTAATTAAGTTTAGAGTTTAAAATATTTTTTAAAAAATTTTATTTTCAATAAATTAACAATTTTAATTTTTAATTTTAGTTCTTAATAGTTAATTTTTTATTGTTCAAATTTTAAAAACAAAAACCAAAAATTAAAAATCACAACTATTCTAAATAGAACTTTTTTTTTTTTTTTGATATTTTAGCATGGAGTTAGAAAATAGACGATTGTGCAAAGCAACCCACTTATTGGGCTCAGACCAACTCTATTAATCTACGGCCTAAAGGCATTGGACTCTATTGAACATATATTCTCCAGTCCATTTAGAAAAAGACCATGGTCGGTAGGTAGTAGGCTAATCTAGTTGTCCACGTTTTACTTTGGGCTACTTTTGAAATCGCAACTCAATTTTCTGACCTTTTCCAACTAGAGATCCACCGTCCACGTATAGTATCTAGTTCTTTACCGTTTTCTTGTCTCCTTGCCCAAACCAAAATACTTTTTTCGGCCGAAAACCTAAACTCGTCCCTCAAACAGAAGAGTAGGGGTAAATTTGTTCAAAAAATAAAAATAAATTAATTCTTTAAATTATCAATTAAAATAAATCACTATTATTTAATATATAATGCTATTATTTTATCAAAAATATATATAATGTTATTATATGTCAACTTTTCATTGAAAACATATTCAAGTGACAGATGAATTTTTAACATGTGATAATGTTATATATTAAATAAATTGTGCTATAAGTATAATTTTTTTATATTATTTTTTTATACAATTTTCACATATATTAAATAAATAAATGTATTTAATATTATGGATCTTACATAAATTAAAAAAATTAATAATTTAAATGATACTTTAGATTATACAAAATTTTTTTTAATAAGCAGGTTATATAAAAATTGAGAAAAAAAATTATAGAAATATTATTTTTTATATTCAATAATGAGTAATTTGTTTTGATAATTATAAATGACTTATTCATTCTAACTTAAAGGTGTTCAATTTTATTTAAATAAGATCTTAAATTTTAGTTTTAATTTAATTTAATTTGATTTCAAAATCGTTGTGATGCAATATAGTTTTGGAGGGATTACTACCAACAAAAATTCCAAAGTATAATTTATCCCTTTTTTTGCGGATCTGCCTACACCTTCTTATTTTAGGGGGCGAATTTGGGTTATGCCTTTTTCCTTTTTATCTCGATTCCATTTTGCGCGGTCGGCTCCGTTTGAATTTATTTTACTTTTAACGACTCTATTCTAATCGTCTCTTTCTTCCAAGTCTCTCTCTCCTTTTCTCTGTAATCAGAATTCCTTCATCAAAAACCCTAGACGAAGCCGACGGCGACGAGGATTTAACCTGAAAACGATGAAGTTGAAGAAGCCATTGAAGCAGCTGAAGCTCTCTGTTCCTGTTCAAGAAACCGCAATCAACTCCTTCCTGTGAGTCACTGAGATCGAACTTCTTTTCTTCATTTCTTCGAATCTCTTTCTTTGATTTATTTATACGTTCTTCGATCCGATTTACTTTTCTTGCATTTTCTAGTATTAATTTGTTATTAAGTCGGAGAATATCGGTAGAAATTGAAGTTTTGAATCTTGGATTTTTCATCGTGTGAGGACAAATTTAGTAGTTATTATGGTTGCTTAGATCAAAAGTGAATCGAAAGAAAATCTGTAATTGAGTTTTGATCTTCAATTACTTGCTATTTTTTATTTAATTCTGTGCTACTGAAGCAGAGTGAACTGAACTCAGAATATGCATTCAAGTTTTCTTCAAAGTCTGCAAGAAATTAATACCGCTGAATTCGCAGGACTGCGAGTGGAACATTTCATGACGGTGATTTACTTTTAAATCAGAAAGGCCTGCGACTTATTTCTGAGAAAAAGGAATCTCGAGTGAGTTTCTAATGACTTAGATACTAAATATTACTTGTATTGACGTCTCTAGGGGATGTACTGTTAGCCATCATGATTGTCAAGTTTAAACCAATTATTAAGATTGATGAATTTACTGTCCATTGTTCTTAAGCCATTCTGTTGTCACTATATCAGTAATTCTTATACCTTCATGCTGTTCAGCGCACATCATTTTGTTATTTATCTGCAGACTAATAATATATTTTTCTTGTCATTTTGAGCAGCCCTCTGATGTTAAGGAGCTTGATTTTGAAATTTCATTGGAAGATCTTGAGACAATCAAAGTCATTGGGAAGGGGAGTGGTGGTGTAGTACAACTTGTTCGCCATAAATGGGTTGGAAGGTTATTTGCATTGAAGGTTATTATACTTGCAAAATAAATTATTTAACAGCTTGTTAACTTCTGGCCTTGGATTAGCTGTTTGTTAACTTGTTTCAGATTTTCAATATGCTCTTCTAACATCTGTTTTTGAGCTGTTCATCACTGCTATCGGGGTTCTTTTCCATTTTTTGTTGTAGGGCTATAAAAATAAAAAAGTTATTTAAAAGTTGCAAGGGTTTGGACAAAGAAATATAAGGAAAGTGTGTGTGTGTGTGTGTGTGTGTGTATTATAGAAGGAGATTTTATGGAATGAGGTAAAGTGAAAGCCTTCCAAAATTGTGATTCATATCAAAATGAGACTCTACACTCCATAATGTTGTTTCTTGCTTTTAGTTTTGGGTATCAAAAATTTTGCAACACTTAAAGTTAAAAAAAGTTTTCAGATTTGTTTACGAGTTTTGAAAAACTTGTACTAACCAAGTTGCTTATTTCACTTTTTAATTTTGATTTCCTGTTGTCAGTTTAGGTTGCTGAATTTTTTACAATAAATGCTGAAATATCTATTCTTCACAACAGATGTTGCAACTTGTACTCTTTTCATCTTTTCTTTTTGGTCAACAAATCTTTTCATCTTGACTCATAACACTTAGGAACATTTTATATTTACTGGAATATTACGTGAGAGTAAGATCTCATGTGATTAGGACAACGCTCTCAAATCAAGGAACTAGAGTCTTGGAAGCTAACTGAATTGTGGAATGCAGGTAATTCAGATGAACATACAAGAGGAAATTCGTAAGCAGATTGTGCAGGAGCTGAAAATTAATCAAGCATCACAATGTCCATTTGTTGTAGTTTGCTACCACTCATTCTATCACAATGGAGCCATATCACTTGTGCTAGAATACATGGATCGTGGATCTTTGGCAGATGTTGTCAGACAAGTCAAGACAATTCTCGAACCATACCTTGCAGTTGTGTGTAAGCAGGTACTTAACCTTCATTCCCATATATTTGTCTCTTATCTGAAGAACGGCCTTGCAACAGCCTCATATGAGTTCCTTTTTCTTCTAAACACTAATCTTCATGCTCCAGGTTTTACAAGGCCTTGTTTATTTGCACAATGAAAGGCATGTAATACACAGGGACATAAAACCATCTAATCTACTTGTCAACCATAAAGGAGAAGTCAAGATTACTGATTTTGGTGTCAGTGCAATGCTTGCTAGCTCAATGGGCCAAAGAGATACATTCGTTGGAACCTACAACTACATGTCGGTAAGTTTTACCTTCCACACTATTGGAAGTCATTTTGCAGTGCTGCTTTTATTTGCTGTACTTCATTTTGCTCTATGCTGTAGTGATCATACATAAGATCTATCACTAGTTCTACTAATAGAATTAAAGCAAAAGTTTAATGGTAATTCATTTCCTCCTCTTCAGCCTGAGAGAATTAGTGGGGAAAAATATGACTATAGCAGTGACATCTGGAGTTTGGGACTGGTAGTACTTGAGTGTGCCATTGGTCGATTTCCTTATATTCAATCTGAAGATCAACAAAGTGGGCCAACCTTTTATGAGCTTTTGGATGCAATTGTGAGAAGTCCACCACCATCTGCTCCACCAGATCAGTTCTCCCCAGAATTCTGTTCATTTGTATCAGCCTGGTAATGCATTTCATTACACTCTTTGAAGAAACAGTCAAATTATTTTCTGCTTTAAATTTGGCATTATCTAGACTACTAGCTTAAGAAATTTCTATTCTCCCCCACAATACCAATTGCACCTTCTCTTGAATTATTTCATGTTTCATTTTGTTCTCTTTTGCATCTCTTCCACAATTCTCTGTCCTCAAAATAGTATTCTTGATAGTCTTGTTCCATTTCCATGTACAGCATACAGAAGAACCCCCAAGATAGAGCATCTTCTTTGGACCTCTTGGTACGTTTAAGTTGGTATATGAAAATTTTTACTTAGATACTTACTCTTGATATGAAAAACGAAAATGATCAGAACTTTGATTGTTACTTCTTCTTGATCTTGCAGAGTCACCCTTTCATCAAAAAGTTTGAAGATAAAGACATTGATCTAGGAATATTAGTAGGTAGCCTGGAACCTCCTGTGAATTATCCAAGATAGAATTCCATTTTATCATATGATACATATGAGTACAATATGTTCTTACCTCTGTATCTGTTATCATTTTGTTGAGTTAAATATCTCCTATATGAAACAAATATTAGCTGCAATCTAATTAATTCTTTTTAAACAATATAAAAAGCTATGGAGTGCTTCTGAAATATTGGCCATGAATCTCGTTTCTTTTCCATTTTTCTGCCTCAAAATGGTAAAAGCAAGAACAGAAAATATTGGCCATGATTTTTGGTATAATGGTTGGCTTTTGCAATGTCCAAGGAAAAGGTTGAATTCTGTGGGCATAGTTAGGCCCAACGGCCCCAACCTATTGCCGGTGGGCGTATAAAAGGTGGGCGCATAAAAGATAAAGATGATTAGGACCAGAAGCGATGGGGTTGAGTTGAGTGAGGCCTACCTACAAAAGAGCGAGTGGTGCCCATTTCAGTGGCCATCAAATTTTTAGACCTTTCTATCATAACTCCTTCCAAGTCAACCGCCTTATCCCTTTTACCTATCCCACCAAGCTTTGGTTTGGCCTGCTCCAAATACTGATGGAATACAATTTTTCATTTTTCTTTTAATCATATATATAGGATAACATAAAAGTGAAGTGCAGTCCGTCCTGCAGAGATTGCACTTCATTTACTCATTAATGAAGAAGGCCCAGATATTAAAGGCCTATCTTTCCATTAATAATTAAAAGTATTGTAAGGCATACGGCACTACAATATTCTCATAGTATAATATTGGCTGTTCTAGAAATGGAAGACAGTTGGAAAGACAGGTGTACATAGGGAGGATGCTGAGTTGTTGATTTGAACATTTGAATTGGTAAATCGCAATCAACTCATTTATGCAGCATGGATATTTGTCAAACCGCTGAAATTGTTTAATTAAATTAATCCCGTCCCCCCCTTTTTTTTTAACATGTAACAACTTGTTCTTCCGGTGAATGAGTGGAACATGCATAATCTCGGTGTATGGAGGGATTTGAATATGAGATTTTGTATAACAACCTCATACTCATGGTGTATATTTACTATTGAAACTTTTAGGCTTGGTTTCATTTAATTGTTTATGGGAGAGTTATTAGCTGTTTGCTTTTAGATATCCAAGTATTAATTTTATGCTTTTTTAATTTTATACTTTTTAATTTGGATTGCACATTAAAAATGTAGTTTAGAAATTAAAATTACTATATTACCATTAATGAATGAGTATAAAGGAGAGATAGATGTTAAGAAAATTTTTTTTTATAAGATTTGATGTACTTTTACTTTAAATTTATTAAAATCTAACGTGATTTTTGAATATAAAAGGATTTAATAAAAAAATATTAAAAAATAAAAATATTTTAATAATTCTAATGTGTAAACTACTTTTTTTAATGTGTCATCTAACAAGAAAGACATTTTTTTTAAACTAACAAAGCCTTAAATAAATTAATTAAATCTCACTTGCAAGTGAAAAGGGTCCAATGAAAAACTCGCAGGATTAAAGGACTTTCCTGGTATTACCACTAAGAACTTGGGAAAACAAAATCCACAAGTTGAGCCCGTAAAAGCAAAATTTGTACCTTTCCATTGCCTATTTTCCCAAAAAAAAAAAAGCAAAATTTGTACCTAAGTGAATTAAAAAAAAAAAAAAACTTCTTACCACATCTCTTACAGAATTATAGTTATTTTTTTATTCAAAATTTCTTTTACTTTAATATATATATATATGTATATATTTTATGATTGTAAATATATATTTTTTCCATTCTTTAACCTCGTTGTCATCCATCTGCTTTAATTATGATCAAAATTTTAATTTTTCTTTAATATAGATAATGTAACCTAAATTTTATACAAAGTCTTAATTTAATAAAAAAATTAATATTATTTTTTTATATTTACCATTAAAGTGTTCCTAAACTAGTTTTACACATGTTGAAACTAATCCTCCCTAATCATGAATAGGTGCATTCTTTATGTTTATTTAGTATATTTTAAAAAAATTAATTTTTTAGATGTTAGTTTCAAATTTTAAATTTTGTGCTTAATTTATAAAATAATATTTATTTACAAAAGGAAACAGACCATTGGATTAAAAAACAATTAATATTATGATGAGATAAATGAAGTAGATACCATTATCATTGCAAAACAAGGTGAGTAATTCCTTTTTAAGAGCGTTGGGCAAAAAAAGGAGAAGAAATTTAAAGCAGATCCAAGAAAATCTGTCTACAAAACCTTGCTAAATCTAGGGGAAATCCCCTTTGCCTAACTTTTACCATGGAGACATGGGAAACTATGCAATATGTCATTACTTTGTGAGGCAAAGTTGTCAAAGATAGTGACTTCAGTTTTCCACCAAAAAAAAAAAAAAAAAGAAGGTAGGATGACTCGGATATGGATGCGTTCAAATATCGACCTTATCCTCTTTGTACTACTTGGAAAGCTATTGAATTGAGACCATAAGGATATATATGTATGCATGATCATGACATATCCCCAAATATATAAAGAAAATAAAAATTGTCAACATTATCCTTTGCTTCCATACCAAAAAGAAATTCAATATTTTATTAAAAAAAATTAAATCAAGGCAGGTGGCATGTATTATTTATATATGCTCCCTATAGGAGGACCAAATGGAATAAAAAGCGTAGAGAATTAAGTTGAAAATGGGTGGAGAAGAAAGGCAGATTTTTCAGGGTGTGAATATGAAGAAAACAGATGCTGAAATATCCGATGAAATCCAGATGAACAAATGGGATGTATGCATGGAGACAGGTGATGATAACCCAGTCTCCAACGGATCCTCCCCGGCAGATTCAGAAAACTCGATTTCTTCTGCATTGTCTTCATCGGACTTGGTCGAGGATGCATCTTCTACAGCTTGTTCTTCATCGTCGTCATCCTCAAACGGCCCTTTGTATGAATTATCAGAGCTCATGGCTCAACTACCCATCAAGTAAATAAACAATGACCCTTTTACTTTTTCCTCAAAGCGTTTTTTATTAGCGTTCTGAAGAAGTAATTAATCACTTTTGCAGGAGGGGTCTTTCCAAGTATTATGAAGGGAAATGTCAGTCTTTTACGTCGCTAGCGAGTGTGAAAAGCGTAGAAGATCTTGTGAAGAAAGGGAATAATCCTTACAATAAAACGAAAATGAAGTCATGCAAGAGTTTTGGGTGGGGGTTGGAGGGTCAGAACAATAGGGTATATAGTCCTAAGGCTACCATATCCAAGAAGGGATCAAGGGGATCATGTTTCTTGTCCTCATCATCTCTAGCAGGTAAGAGAGGCAGTTTGGTGAATGTAAATGTTCCATTTCAATCATCATCTTAATACAGTTTTCACAGCGTGTGTTCTTGAGGATCATCCATCATCATCATATTTTTGAAATTATATATAGGATTTGTTTAAGGATTTTTTTTTTATAATAATAAATGAATTTCTTTGTAATTAATTTTTATTAAAGATATAAATATGAATTTTAATTTAATTAATTAATTAATAAAAATTATTTACATGTTAATAATATTAAAATATATATCAATTTTATAATTTTTAATATAAATTAATTATAAAAATATATTTATTATCTCTTTAATTTATATTTTTAATCTATAAATTAGAGAAACCTTTTGTTTAATAAGAGAGAAATTGTTGGCCAGGATTTAGGGTTTCAGTGTTCGGGTAACTTTTAAATGGGCAATCAACTGTACTATAGGCTGTAGTGTAGCCTGTAGATTCCGGTAAGGCTTAGCTAACCCCTTTGCCAGCGTTGGAAAAAATAAAAAATGAAAAAAATTTTTCTAACGTCGGAAAAAATAACCTCTCCTCTTTCTCTCTTTTGAGTAAAGTGATTAACGATGTTGGTATTAATATGAGGTAAAGACACTACAATTAATCTCCAACGTTGATAAGAGATGGCTATTAAATTAGCTTTTTCATCTGCTGCCAACCACCAAAATGGCCTAATGATATCTCTCTCTTTCGAATGAATGAAGCAAGAAATTTTTTGCTCAAATTTTTTATATGTAAGGATAAAATAAAAAAAAAATTATTTTTTATTATACAACTCAAAAAATAAAAATAAAAAAATTCATCCTCTAGAATTGATATATCCTTACGGTATAAAATACGCTAAATATTAGCAAAAACTAAGAAAATGACAACTAATAAAAATGTAGAAAAGTTTTTACTCTAGCCATCCTTCTGCTTCTTGGGTGACCTGTTTGGATAAAAATTAACAAAGGAAAAGAAAAAGGAGAGAAGGGGAAGGAAAGGAGAAGTGCAGTAAAGAATTATGTTAATTTTATTTGGATAGCAAAAAATAAAAAATGAAAGTATAATATTTTTATTTAATTAAATTA